TGAATGTGAATGTGCACACGATTATAAATGTACAGTGTACATACGTACATGTATGTATAGAGAAGGCAGTACAGAAACGGCAGTGGTGGTGGGGCTTGGACAGCTCGTCCGACCGTGGGTCTCGGAGTCAACACTGGGTAGATGCAGCGGGAGTGGCCGGGGGGGGGGGGGTGATAGCTTAGGAGATACGGGATGAAGCCAGCGCGATCATAGTGATATTAGTATGTAATGCATATGCAGAAATAATATGTAAATCTTAAACAATAGTGCGGTGGACCTGTGCAGAGGAAAGGCATCATGGACATGATCTACGTGTACATGTACTAGTAAGTGAGCTAGGGCACATCATACATACACACACACACACACACACACATATGCGCATGCGGACGTAACTTGCAGTCGAGTGGGGAGGCTGGAGGAGTGCTTGGCCGGCACCCAACAAGAATGTACCAGTCCTTCACCGCGAATGCCCTCCAGGACCTGCGCAGGCTGTGGGTGCGTGCCAGACACCGGTGCACCCCACTCCTACTCCAGGGCTGCGGCGGCGCCGGCTACCCACAACATTCACGCCCGGGCTGCCCAGGCTGCACCTGAAAGGAAGTATCCAGGCTCAGTAATGGAGCCAGCACTGCACACAACGGTGACATCTTCAAATGCATTGCGAGAGTTGGCAATCTCGGAGGGCTGGCTGTGAGGTTTTGGAGATGACGGTGGGCAGGACAGTGCCCTTGTATTTTCCTGCATGGGTTTTTTCTCTCTAGTTTTTTTTCGTTTTTATTCACACATACAATTGTACTCGGATGGTGAGCCAATATAGTTGTGATGAAGAAAGGAAAAGGACAAAATGTTACGAGTTATGACAAACTGTCCACCAACGTAACCAGATCTTATACAGTCAGCAAGTGCGACAACATGGCACAAAACTGACAAGGAGTACTGAGACATTCGGCGACCTGACACCTAGCTCCAACACTTCTCCAAGGCGCAAACCAATAACCTTCCAACTTGGAAGGCTTAGGTTCGGAAAGGTCCAAGAGGGGAAGGAAAGCGCACCGAAGACGAGCATGAGCTACGCATCACGGCAACAAAGAATGCCGAAAGTTACTGGATGATGACGAAACAAGTAAGACTATTGGACAGACCGGCCTTACTACAACTCGACGACGCAAAGCAACAGACCACCCAACTTGGAAGGCTCAAGTTTATGCAATACACATAGAAGGGGAAGCTAAGCGAAGACGAATTGTGACATACCGAAACGCCAACATCCTACTGAACTCCACTATCATGTATGATGGACTAGTTATGTACACGAATTGTGCTGGAAGAGAGTTTCACAACCTCTTCTCTTGTTTTGCCCTTGAGCAAATGGTGACATTCCCCACGCACTTCACCCTCCCCCCCCCCCCCACCCCACGGCTCATCATCGTGTATTGACGTTTTACTCTCGGATCATCCTCACCTGCTACTCTCTGTCACATCTGTTTCTCCTCTTGGTGTATCTGACCACGCACAGGTCCTCAGTCGTGAGGAACCTGTTGCAAACGGACATCCCGCTGCTGCACCCCAATGAAGCTTCAGGAATGTTCCTGTAAAGCCGCACTACGACTATAAATCCGTGCCATCTTCCATCTGGGATAGTGTGAATGCAGAGCTCGCTGATATTGACTGGAGCTGGCACCTGCGTGCTAGAAATGTCAAAGATGCGCTTTCGCACTTTCCCTCCTTTCTCAACAGTGCCCTTGAGAGACACTTCTGGCCATTCAGCAAGCAGCCATATTCTCACCGCTGCCCACGGCCCAATCAGCCACCCTGGGTTGATGCCCATCTCCGCACAGCAATCAAGTGGAAATATGATCTCTATAGCATTTTTAAGAAGTACCCAACAAAACGAAGCAAACAAGCATACCAACAGCAGCGAAATCTAGTGAAAACCTTGACGCGGACAAAGTACAGAGCTTATATACGTTCAATGGAAACTACTTTGCAGGGTAGACATCATCCATCGCTTCACCAGTTTGTGAGACAAGCAAGAATTCGAAATGCATCACAGGAAATTCCGTCGCTCACCACAAGGACTCAGCAGGTGACTGACCCTTTGGCCAAATCCACAGCATTAAATGCCCAGTTTGCCTCTATGACTCGGCCGGATGACCCTTCGCTTTCTATTCCCGCTATTCTCACCCCTCAGAGCCATCGGCTTGTTCCACGTCTGCCATCACCACAACTGCCACTGTCCGGCGTCATCTGAAGGCGCTTCCGACGTGCAAGGCATCTGGTTCCGACGGCAAGGCCCTAGCACCATCCATATCATTCACTTTGTGCCATATTTTCAGCGTGTTATTTACCACCGGCATATTCCCTTCTGCATGGAAGACAGGGAAGGTCATACCTGTTGTCAAGAAAGGTTCCTGCCACGAACCTGCAAACTATCGCCCTATCTCTCTTCTTCCCTGCCTGTCCAAAGTATGTGAAAGCATCTTCTATGATCACTTATACAGACATGTTTTGCCGTTCATGAGTCCTGTACAATCTGGGTTCCGTAAAGGCGACTCCACCTCCCTTCAATTAACGCGCATCGTGCAACAGATATGCCAGCATAGGGATGAAAGTGCCCTTGCTGGTATTTGCTGCTTTGACTTGGCCAAGGCATTTGATACTGTCTGGCATCGGGGACTTTTGGCAAAGCTCAAGCATGCATTCAGTTTAAGCACACAGCCACTCTCCTGGCTCAAATCGTATTTTTCTAGGCGTTATCAGTACGTAAACGTGCTAGGCACATCCTCGGCTGCAGAACCAGTATTGTCAGGGGTTCCTCAAGGATCAATTCTTGGTCCCCTACTATTTAAAATCTACGTAAACGACTTACCTGCAGTCTTCCCTGGAACATCTTTGTTTGCTGATAACACGACCCTTCTCAACTCATCGGCTTCCCTCACTGACCTGAAAAACAACTTGCGTGCTGGCATTCAGGAGGTTCTTTCCTGGATATTGTCCTGGAGGCTGTCCCCAAATCTATCAAAAACAAAAATCATGCTCTTCCCGTCTCAGCCGGAATTCACATCTCTCGTCCATCCCAATTTTCCAAATCCAACTGACATAGTGTCTTCTCACAAACAACCTTGGCATTGTAATATTCTGCACTCTCTTGGGTGCCCCACATCGAATATATCTGTCAAAAATCAAGATACTCCTTAGATATTCTCTCTCTCCCCCCCCCCCCCCACTGCTCATAGCTCCCAGTCTCTTGCAACCTTCCTTTTTATTCAGTCTATCTTCGCCCAGTATTCGATTATGCCGATACGTCTTGGGCTGAATTGTCCTGTCTGCTTCAAACTACACCACAAGAAAATCCTTTAAAATCTCTTCCGTCAACCCCGCATGCTCTCATCATCCGCTCTTTATAAACTCGCTCACTTAACTCCGTTATCACATAGATGCAGTGCACGCCTGGCTGCTCTTGTCCATTCTATTAAGCTCGAGTTGTGCCCACCTTATCTCATGTGTTTTAATTGGTTCTCTTCTCTAAGAACTAGAGACTCGCTTGTGCTTCCCAAGGGTAACTCATCCACTCTTTGGCGCTCCCCTCTCTTTATTGCTGTTTCTGTTTGGCTTACTCTTCCCACAGACGTTAAGGATATGGTCTCACTCCGCCTGTTCAAGATATTGGCCGGTGTTTCCACCGAGTCTTGAGATGTTGTAATAAATATGTTCAAATAGGAGATCCCCCTGAAAAGCGTTCGTCGGCGTTGGGTAATCCTGAAATAAAGATGTTAATATTATTAAAGAGATTGTTACTCGAATCTGTGGACAGCAACTGTTTCGCTCTGTTAGAGCTCTTCAGCACAGCTCAGAGGACCGAAGCGCAGCTCTTCGCAATGAAATTCGTTTCCGTGAAGCAAAGCATTTTTATAAAGAGCTGCAAACCCCGCGAAGAGGGCTCGAAATGCTCCAAGAGCAGTGAGCGTTGCACAAGAGATTATTATCATACGCTCACATAAACGCCAAAAGTCATACCAACCATGAAGCCCAAGCGAAGGTCTAGCGAGCGAGTTACTTTTGAGTTAGCGCATGAAAAAGTACTTTTTGTCGTACATGCTGCACTATTTGCGAATATTTTGACGCATCTTTCAGCTTCATCCGTAGAGAGTAGTTGGTTGGACACAACCATTCCCAAAGCAGTGCAAACCGAACCAAAACCTAACATCAGGTACGAAATGAAACAATGATCATTGTTTCATTTCGTGCCTGACGAATGGCAATTTTGCGGAAACGTTGTGCGTAAAGGAATTGGTTCAGTTTGCAGTGCTTTGGGAATGGCCAGTAGGGTCCGGCGGATTCTGCCGGCAGTAAAATTGGCAGAATTCGGTACTTTTTCTGGTAAGTTTCATGCATGTTTGGTATGTGGATAAAAAATGGAGCAGAATTCGAGGAATTTCCCCCCATAAAGTTTGTATGGTTCTGCCAATTTCACTGCTTTTCGAGCAGAATCTGCCACCTTTTCGAGCAGAACCCGCCTAGGAATTGGTGTGTCTACACAACTACTCTCTATTCGCGAATTGTCGTTATATCCGCCGTCGTTATTAGCGAAGTTGACTGTACATACAACTGACTTCTCCCCTCCATTGTTGTTGTAGTGTGGTGATGGTTTGGAGTGTGCTCTGCTGACAGGGTATACGGGTGTCATCTACAAAAGTATCCTGAAGTGCGAACGATTTGTAATAATTGTAGTTAATCGCACTCACACTACGGTGTGAGAGCGATTAGCGAAAACAGTGCAAGGTGCACGCACACGTACCACCAGTCCTTTGCCGAGACCCCATGTGTGCCTGATAAGTGATAAGCACAATCATGTTCATGTAGGTACATGTACATGTACATGCATCCGGGATACCAAACCCTCAGTATACCTACAGACACCGTTCAGTTGGCACGCGTTACGCGTACATTATTATACTTATTTTTGTAGAAGTAAATCCAGACCGAGTAGCAGCAACATGTTTGCAGAAAAGGCTACGCTCTATGATGAGAATTGTGATTTCCAATACCGAATGGGAGTGTCCCTCATGGACAATGACCTAAAACCAAAAGATGGAGATTGCATGCTTGATCTTGGATGCGGAACAGGGCGTCTAGCGACACGCCTCGCCTCTAAAGTTGGAAAGAGAGGCAAAGTTGTGGGAGTTGATCCTAATGCAGGCAGGATACAGCTGGCTCGTAAGAATGCCCTGCACCATAACTCCAAGACTCGGTTTGTTGTGGGTCTGGTGGGTGATGCAGCGAGCCTAGGACCGTACGATGGCATCTTCTGCAACTTTGTCCTCCATTGGGTACCCGATGGAAGCATTCAGGAAACCTTGAAGGACGCGTTGGACTGCCTAAAGCCTGGAGGAAAGCTCTGCGCGCACATTGCTCTCTCGACTGGAGCATTGCTCGAGGCTATTGAGCGTCTTGTAACTGGAAATGATAGCCCGGCTGTACGTCCAAGTCATATTCCTGGTCAAGGTGGGCAAGACTGGAGCAATATGTGTGAGTTGGCTGGATTTGATGTTTCTGTGGCTGCTGAAGAGAGCACAAACCCTTGCTGGGACAACGTGGATACCTGTATCAACGTGGTGAGAGCCTACACCGATGCAGGTGTTACAGGACATGCCATAGGAGATGATGATGTCATTGTACTGATGAAGGCACACAATATCCAGTCACGGGCTGACAACGTGCTCACGGAATCCAAGTACCTTCGCCTCATTGCGCAGAAACCCGCAGAGGTATGATGTTTGCTATGTTCACGCCTTGTATCGCTGTTAAATCTGCCTGATCTTCTTTGCCTGTACCCCACCTGACGAGAAAGCATGAAAGCATTCTTGAGGAAAACATTCTGTAATGACCTTGACGTTTGTCCTTCTCCAAATGTGTATCATATTTCTTGTCTCTGAAGAGACATGTTCATGCCTTGTACAGTTGTTAGTTTTGCCTGATCTTTGCTTGTATCCCACCTGACGAGAAGGCGTGAAAGCATACTTAAGGAAAACGTTCCATAACGAGCTTGAAGTTTGTCCTTCTCCAAGTGTTTAACATTTTTTTAGGCTCCGAAGTGACATAATAATATGTCATGATACTAAAACTTACGCTGGTCTCAAGTCAATATTCATTGTCCTGCATTCCGGTCTCAAGTGCCTGTCACGGTTTGTTTCAACGCACTCTCGTGATGGAACAACCCTATTCATACGCCGTCGGTATAATAATTATGCACTCTGACGACCGCGTCTCACCATTGGACTACAAGTACCAGCTGTCACACTACTTCGAAATAAAAGTAAGTTATAGAGGTTTTTCGAATGACGTCACACGCCCCCACGCGGCGCAGCTGCTGGCGTGTTGAGTGGCAAAAGATGAGATCGAGTGAGATCGAGATTGAACGCCAAATACAATTTTATTTATTTTGTTGACGGCTTGTCGTCTTTCTTTGCTATCCACTCAGTCCACACTGGCCATTTTCGCTTTACGCTTGATCTTCAGGTTTATCTTTAGCGCTTTGTTTGTGTAACCGATATTGATCAAGGTCGAAATGGGGAAGAGCTGCTCGGCTGTTGGCTGTACGAGACGATTCAAAAAGGGCGACAAAGGTTGGACAAGATTGCCCTCTGAAGAAAGTGAACCTGAGCGCAGGGAAAAGTGGATAACTGCTCTGCGAAGGGAGAACTGGACACCAGGAAAGCACAGCTGGTTATGTGGAGCGCATTTTATCGGCGGGGCGAAGAGTGATGAGCCTTTGTCACCAGACTATGTGCCACGTGTGTTTACGTTTGTACGGTCCCCAGTCAAGAGGAAAATGCAGGAGGAGTTGGAGGCTTACCACCGGCGTGCAAAGCGGACTCGTTTGTTTGCTGATCAAAGCGCTACAAAGGCTGTGGAATCGACTGCAGCAACTCCTACTCCTGATCCTGCTGAATCCGCGTCCACTTCAAAATCTTGCCAAACAGATCTCACCATGGGCAAGCTTCACGATTTGGAGAGTGAAAAGGAGCAGTTGAAGGCATCAGTAGCGAAACTGCAGGCCCGAGTGACGGAGTTGGAGCTGGAGAACGCCACCTTGAAGCTGAAGCAGCCGTCTTATGGGTACACTGAAGATAATTTCAAAAATGACCCTGCCAAAGTCCATTACTACACTGGCCTGCCTGATGTGAAAATCCTGTCAACTGTCTTCTCTTATGTGTCAAAGCCTCTCTCTGCCCATGGTCATAGCAAGTTGTCCCTCTTCCAACAATTCATCCTCGTGCTCATGAAACTTAGACTGAACCTCGCGCATCAGGACTTGGCTTACCGCTTTGGCATCAGTCCGGCCACTGTCACAAAGATATTTGAGAAGTGGATTCAAGTGATGTTCGTCCGGCTACGCCCACTTATCCGCTGGCCAAACCATGGTGACCTGGAGAAGACCATGCCGAGGAGCTTCCGCGGACAGTTCGGTCGCTGCGTCTGCATAATCGACTGTTTCGAGGTATTTATGGAGAGGCCACGTAATCTTATGGCTAGAGCTCTCACCTTTTCACATTACAAATCCCACAACACTGTCAAGTTTTTGGTTGCTGTCACACCCCAAGGCTCCATATCCTTCATCTCCAAGGCTTGGGGCGGACGAACACCTGACAAGCATTTGACGGAGAACTGTGGCCTATTGAAGCTCCTCAATCCGGGAGATCAAGTCATGGCGGATCGTGGATTTACTATCGAAGACAGCGTTGGCATGTACTGTGCGAAACTAGTCATCCCTTCCTTCACCAGGGGGAAGAAGCAGCTGAGAAGGCAGGAGCTCGAGCAGTCACGCCAAATCGCGAATGTGCGTATCCACGTTGAGAGGGTGATCGGCCTGCTTCGGCAGAAGTATACCATCTTGCAGTCAACCCTGCCTATCACCCTATTGAAGCATGATACGGATGAGAAGGAGTCCATGATTGATCGTATTGTTAGTGTGTGCTGTGCTTTGTGCAATTGCTGCAAATCTGTTGTGCCGCTCAACTGAGCACTGTGATAGTAGTTTGTAGATGATTGTGATTTGCTGCAACGGGTTTATGCATTGTGGTACTCTGCTCATTATACACGTTGCCGTTATTATCTTGGTCATGAAACTCATCATGCCACCATGGTCCTGCAATGTCAGCTCTGCTTGCCATATCAACGAGTGTCAGTTATTTTGCCTATGTCTGGTGGCACCCTGTTTCAATGTCCATTGGATGCCTGAACTGGCCGGCTATGCGCTGAACTGTGAATGTATTGTTTTATTTTTTTAATAGCATCAAATGGAAAATAGCTGTACACCATGATTAATGAAACTGTCTTTGTGTTCGGCAATGTGAACTTCAATATTTGCATATAAACTAACACTATCGGCACCCAGACAAGTTGAACTTGTTCGGTTGTGGATGAGCTTTGGGTGTAAATCCACTTCAATGCTGGGGTTCCATTCCCTTTCCCAGGAGTCAAACTCAGCCAAATTGGGAGTTTAGTGTATCTCTCTTGTTGCCGCAATTGCCTTTCACAGGCACAACAAAGTCTGAGTGGTGGTCCAATGGCTTTCACTATGGAGAGGATCTTGGTTTAAAAGAAGACACTGGTTCACACAATAATTATACAGAATGTGATTGATGAGGTACAACAGTGTAATCGCTACTGACATACGATTTGAATACCTCAAAATTAGAAAACTAGTTTATGCCATACTCCATACACAAGATATCCAGCGACGTCATGCGTATACAATGTAACTGTACAAGTTGCAGGATGACGGCATCGTCAGGGGTAGACTTGAGCAACGTACATACCATACGGCAGACTGTGAAATGAAGAACAGGCATGACCAGTGAATGCTGCACAATACCTCAGTATCAGTATTCCTGAAAGGTAGGACCTGTTAATAATTACCACTCGAGAGAAGACTGTAAACTCATCTTGTTATCAGCAAACTGAAATACATTACAAATACATTATAAAAGTAGAAAGGAAAAGGACATATGGAAACGAGTTAAGAGTAACTCTCCACCACTGTATGTCCTTTTCCTTTCTACTTTTATTATTGGCTCAATACCCGAGTTTCAAAATACATTATAGCAAAGGAAAAGGAGCGAGAACACGCCAAGCTACTTGCATGGGAGAAAAGGCTAACTCACTCCACGAACTACAAAACAAATCTCATCCTTTCACACGCAGTGAAGGAGCTTACAAAAGTGAAAGGCAAGTGCATATGGCTGCACACACAGCCTACGCTAGCTGCAGCGCTGGTACACCGGAACTATTATCATAAAGAGCCAGCCAGCATGAATCAAAGCAATCGACTGTCGCGACACCAGTGCAGACAAAGTGATGCGTACACAATACAGACAAGGGGACAAGTCCAGCCAGATACAGTTACTTGAGCAGAGAGAAGCACCAACACAATCTTCAGGATGCATGCACATAATTCTAACAGGACCACTCCTCAAGCTTTCGACTTCTTCTGGCGAGCTGCCTTGCGGCATTCAGGACAATGCCAGCTCTTACCGGGCTTCTTCTTGAGGCCTAGGCACTTCACATGGAAGAAACGGCGAGTGCAATCAGTATTAGCACACTTCGCTACATCACCGGCCTCTTTCCCGTCACAGTAACAACCACCCGGCGATGACAATGTAGTCTGTGGCAGACCCACTGTGGCTGATGCGCCCGCTGCTGCTGGTGGTCCGTCAGGTAAGCTATCAAAGTTCTTTGAATACCATTTAGCGGCTAGTTCCGGTAGAACTCCAAGTTTGTAGAAATCTACAACTGCCTCCAAGGCTTTAGCCATAAACGGCGCATCAGGAAGTATGCGCTCCACGTGCAGCTCTTCCTTGTTCCAGACTATGAAGTCACAGTGTCTGGCAGCGCAGACCTTCAGCTGGAGCTGGACCTGATAGTAGTAGGCATGGTCGTGCTTTAGGCGAAGCTGTGGCAGCAACCCGGAGGAAGACGGGTCCTTCTCCAAGCAGAATTTGCTCTCGTCAGCAGCATCAGCGAATGCCTTGTCCCGGCATGAATAGGGACACTTGATCTCAAGCACACCGGCCCCACAGCATGCACAACTGACAAAGCCATCTGGGCTTGCCCCAAGATACGGGAAGTCAGGAGACAGGCAAAGACCGCACTCAGTCACAGACAGCTCCTTGTGAACAGCCCCCTGCTTCCTTACATACAGCTCACGCGCACTGGCCTCATGCTCACAGCCCCATTTAGTGGCTGAAGTTGTGAACGCTTGCGCCTCCGGATAACAAATGGCTTTGATGAGCGACACGGATGGATTGCTGGGATTGGTGCGCGTAGCAGCTTTGAAGCGGGATGCTGTTACCCTGCCAGCACGGTAGCGAAACCACTGCTTGGAGGTAGCCTGGTCCTTTGTGAGCCTCTCCACAGCCTTTGCCTCCTCCGCAGTCACAGTTATTGCGCTGAACACTTTTTCACAGTGCTGCAGCACATCGGCAAAGTTGGCTGTCAACAGTGCGTCATTGTAGAGCTCGTCTACCAGGTATGGTGGGCAGCCGTCCTGATCCTTTGGAGCGTACCGGTCAGAGAAGGCAGGCATAGTGCTCAGCACCGCACAAGAGCCGGCGGAATCCAGAGAGGCACATAGGGCATCAACTTCCTCAGCTGTGGGATTGTCAAACGGAGCAGGCTTGCTCTTGGCGGAACTGCTGGTAGCTCTTGGTTGTTTATTCTTATCCTTCCTTGGGTCGGGCACAGCAAGATCAATGTCAATGACCCTAGCATA